TGTAAAGCTATAATATCCTATATATTGCCGAAAAATTACAATTTTTTTCTCTGCAGTTATTATCTCTGTTGATAATCGAACTTTGACGATAACACTGAAATCACAATTTTAAAGAAAAATCGAGTATTATTGAGTTTTAAATGCACGTACACCGATAAACACGTCTACTAAACTAATAAATCATAAAATTAGTACAATATTATCAGTTTTTTTACTCTTAATCACTTCAATATTAACAAGGACGCGAACTCCATAAGGATGTCGGTCTTTAATAATATCTCGTCGGTGATTCTAGCATAGTACAGAACAGAACCAAAAGATCGTGGACATAGCCATCAGAAATATTTGTAGATGCTGGTTGACGTCTGTTCACGTTCATGTTTCGTGCATATAGAGGCGCTAATGAACGAGGTGCACTTAAAAGTGCGGGCAGCGGGCATGTCTACTCTCGTTACTTTTTTCTCTGTGCTCTCGACGACTTCGTTATTATAGCCGTCTGCTTCGCTGGTGGTTTGACGTATGAGACAAACAGCAGGATGCCAACGTGCGGGCTCGCATCGATGAGCCCTCGCGACGTATTCTCGTCCGTCGCGATTTTGACAGAACCGAAGCGTCGGACGCGGTGCCGTCGGCCACGTTGATCCGGTTGATCAGGAGCTATTTCGCGAGGCCCCGACGACGTGTGACATTTACATACATACATATATTTCGCGGCGTCGAGAAACGGTGTGATACCAGCTGGGTCACGGCCAGAGATAAATTGTTATTCGGGTTTCTATCAGTATCGATCGGCGGAAATTCCACATTCACGATTGTAAGAAATATCTCATCTGATCTGCTCATTTTGAATGCGTATGTATATATATATATATTATATACGTATAATAGATATATATGTTCTTTATTATTTTATGATTTGTCTTATATCTTCCGGGAAACAATTCATGCATCAATAATTAATTTTTTCCACAGTTATCGCGCTATAATTATCATCTGATGAGGAATATGCTGTTTTCAAACAGTATGTGAAAGCTTAATGAGAGATTTTGGATCGAGGAGCTGATGAATTAATTATTAAAGTTATGCGTCAAACCATACGAATTGTTTGCGTGAATTAGATTAGAATCGTGATTTTTGCACGTAACTGACCTCTTGGAATAAGATTAGATAAAAATTCTATCCTAAAAATGTCGGGTGGAGAGAGAAAGAAAAGAGGATGTGATCGAGGGCATGGATGGGAGGAGGCTGGTGCCGAATTCTATCAAGAGAGTTATCCAGCAGCTATGGAGGCGGATCTGCAACAGGCACTGCAAAGAGATCCCTCGCACATAGCAACTTTACTTCCTAGCAAGAAATCTCGCGTTGGTAGGTTTATTCTGAGAGACATGTCACAAATTTCTCTGTGTTTTAGTATTTATAGTCCATTATTATTTCTATAAATGGTATCTTAAAATGTTAATATGATTGGCTGATGACATCTTAAGACCATACTGAAGACTATTCTTAAGACTGTCTAAAATATAAGAATCAAATAAATACCTCTCTTATACCTATGTTTGATACAGCCACAGCAAAACGAATTCGTAATGACACAAAGACCACATTGAGGAGGCGTACCAGCACTAGATCTCGCGGTACCACGACTTCAAGGCGTATGTCGACCAATATACACGACGATGTCAATGCTGCCAGATCTATCGGAAAACTTATCCAACGAAGAACGCACTTGGGAGGAGATTATGCAGATCAAGGCCATGCCTGTATGCATGTCTCAAAAAATGCAATTGAAAAATCAATTACAGGTACTTTGGAAAATGTACATCTTAATGATAAATTGATGTGACTTGTAGCAACTTAATTATTCATATTAAACATTTTTTTTTTTTTAAAGACCGTGCTATATGAGAAACACAATTAATAATAGAAATTGAAATGCCTCTAACGATCGAAACTAGATCTATAATGCTTTAAATAATTCAATGTGAATTATATATATAATTCACAATAGCATTATAGATCTAGCTTCGACCGTTAAAGGCATTTCAATTTCTATTATTAATTATTCATATTTTTCAGAGTGCTACGAAGCTAAGACTTCAGGGCTTCGAGCAGCTGAAATGGCAACGCAGGAAAGCTTGGCAGCAATTCCGTATTAGAATGAAAGAAGCTTATTCCAAGATGGAGCTGTGGAACGACAGTCTCAAGAAGATAGGCGGAAATTTCGGGATGGGCATAGTAGCGTATTTTTTATTTATCAAGTGGCTGATGTATCTGAATCTGCTTTTATTTGCTATTATATACTTGCTGATAGTACTGCCAGTGATAGTGCTGGAGGTACCGGAGAACGAAACATGCTCGTCCAATAACGCCGCCAGCGTAGTCTGTTGCTCCGAGTTGTATAGAAATAACACCGATGAAAATTGCAGGGCACCTAAGGTCTTCTCTCTTCTATTCTACGGTTCGTATACACACAAGATCTATGAGAGTGTAGGTACTAATTTCTATTACAATTCGCCGCTGTCGTACATCTGCGCTATCCTTACCGTCTTCATTATTAGTCTGGTAGCGATCGTACGATCGGCCGCCAAAAGTTTCAGGGAGAGAATCGTGGAAGGTGAAGGCCAGTTTTATCGATACTGCAATTTGGTATTTGGTGGCTGGGATTACTGTATTAACAATGAAAGATCTGCTTCCATAAAGCACAAGGCATTGTATAATGAGATGAAAGCGCTTCTAGAGTCGGAAAGGCTGGAGGAGGAGCGGCGAAATCGCACACCGGAGGAGGAAACGAAACTGTTCTTCACGCGTCTATTTGTTAATTTAATAATTCTCACGGTATTGGGCGGCTGCGGTTTGTTCGTTTATTACATAATCGACTTTTCGTTCACTCAGATGTCGGCGCATTTGGCAAAGGATCACGAAATATTGAATCTATTCTTTGAATTCCTTCCATATATATGTATCGTCGTACTTAACGTAGCGGTGCCATTCCTCTTTCGCTATTTGGTCGCCCTGGAGCATTATAATCCATCGTATGTCGTTGAAGTGACGCTATACAGAACCATGTTCTTTAGATTCGCTTCCCTCGCAGTTCTATTAACGTCTTTGCATGCGCTTGTCGCGGACAAAATTCCGGATAACGAATGCTCCAATAAAAAAAACGAACAGCCACTATGCTGGGAAACGTTCGTGGGACAGCAATTTATCAAGCTTTACAGCACCGACATTTTCATTCAATTCTTCATGACGTTCTTCATCAATTTTCCACGGTCGCTGATTGCACGTCATACTGAGAACAAGGTTTTGCGCTTCGTCGGCGAGCAGGAATTTGACTTACCCAAGCACGTACTAGATATCTTCTACTCGCAAACGGTCTGCTGGCTCGGCTGCTTCTTTGCCCCGTTACTACCCATGGTCGCCGTCGTCGGAACATTTCTGCTGTTTTACATCAAGAAATTTACTTGTCTAGTGAACAGTACACCGTCGAATAAAATTTACCGTGCCAGTAGGTCGAATTGCCTGTTCATGTTCAATCTGTTGATCTCTTTTATCCTGGCGATGATACCAGTTGGCTACTCCATCGCGAAAATCATGCCATCGAAATCGTGCGGGCCGTTCCGAGGATTGGAGACCGTTTGGTCATTTTTGAGCATGACGTTCTCGCTGTTTCCTAACTGGCTGCAGTCAACTCTGTCCTTTTTAGGTACGGCTGCCTTCGGTATACCGGCGTTTGTCATTCTCTCTTTGCTCCTCTATTACTATTACGTGATGTGGTTGGCAAACAAGCACATGGTGACAGTATTGAAAAACCAATTGGTACTGGAAGGTCATGATAAACAGTTCTTATTGAACAGGCTCAGCGCTTTCATCAAGCAGCAACAGGATCAGAACAAGTTTCACCAGGAGCAGGTTAATGAGTTAGGCACGTTTCAACATGTATAAATAGTATGAAACTTGATTTCTTTATTCTTATGAATGTACAAATTTAGTGAAAACATACATTTTTACATAACATTTTTACAGTGTAACCACGCGGTTCGAATGCATTGTTTTACTTGAGATTTTTGTAGGTTTTACTTTTTATAGATTTTATTTATGAAACGTAAGACTGTCGACTTTGTCTTCATTATATTATTCACGAGTGGCACTTATATAACAATTTTTTGATATTCTATCGAATTGGGATAAAAGTTATACAGGCAACAATGAGCGCGGACAATACCAAAAAGATTAATACGTAATTTACTTACTGTCTATTGCAGTGTCTTGCATTTTATATAAACTGATGCTTTTCAAGATTTGTATTACAGTTGTAATCACTGCCACAAACATTAGTTTCCGTTAGTCTTTAGATCAATTTCGAGAACTTTCAAACGGGACATATCTCACATTCTAGGAAATTCAATCATCTTATTTGTATGAAAATGCACATCTGAAATCAGGGTACAAAGGAAAAAAAAGAGAGAAAACGGTATTATACAAGTATTGTGCAATAGTAAGAAAAATCGTGAATTATTTAAATATTTATTAATTCTATATAATTTCACGATATTTATAAATCATAAAGAAGTATAGAATCGCACATAATATTAAAGAAAATCTACTTTAAAACGTAATCTTCTTCGGAAATGATATATTGCAGCTATATATTATATTATAGCTAATGTGATCATATATATGTCTAGCTTAAAGACATTAATATCCGTTTTCACTAACGTATATTAACTTTAATTTCGTTGAGATTAAAGTTAATCTACATTGGTGGAAATGAGCATATAAATAGGCAGATCGAATTTGCCTATATTTGCCATTTGGATGGGAACCTTCCTAGTTCGCCTAAGGCTTCGTTTTCCTGGCCTCACAGATTTTAAGATCGAACAGGCAGGTACTCACCCGTCTGATTTATATATATATATATATGTAAGAAGTAATTATATAAAGTGTTTAGCTAAATATATGAAAAACGATAAGACTAACGTCCCTCTATAGGACGATGTACTTCCTCAACTTTACGAGTAAACATTATAGAGAGCTTTTGCATGAATGAAACAAAGTGACATGCAGCGTACCTATTTTCTAGCGTAGTTCTTTAGAAATCTGTAATGTTACTGTAAATAGGTCCTCTAGAACCTATGAAAAATTATTTTACTAGTGATATCTATAGTAAAGCGTCGGAGAGAAAGTCAGAAATATTTTATTATATTTATTATTTCGTTATCGAGGCTTTAATAATTTAGGATATAGGAAACGAACGAATGTGTAAGAATTTTTATAATTCTATATGTATACATCTAGGATTTGTTTTAATTGTAAAAGTCTCGTACCTCAGTATAGATAACGCCCAAAGATAATTCAAATTGAGACTGTAATAAATTATTTCATATATCTATTAACGTGAGATTGTAAACGAATGTAGGATACTTTCATTCATTATCACTGACTCTACATAACACAAAGATAAAAATGTTTTTCATTTTAGCGTATGTTTAAATATCGATGATGTAAGCATCGTGCACACAATACACGCTATCGCAAATCGATCAGATTCTTTGGCCTAAATAATTCAATGCACATATTTGCGTACTGAAAAATGTATTTTGTAAATCTCACATTTGTATAACTAAGATAGCATGTATGGATGCTCAGATACATCCTTTCTTAACGTATTATAGATGTCATAAGCTATTTTGACGACACTATATAAATGCATTTAACATAAAATTAAATATGAAGCCGTATAAAATATATATATATATATATATATAATCTTCCATAAAACAGATTTATACACTCAAGAAAAATCAGCAAAATGCATTTATATAATTGTATTATTACATTAAACGAAACAATGAAGTCCACAAATATCTAAATAGAAAACTCTTCGAATGTCACTGCTAATTAGACTATAACAATACTACCATTATCTGTCACTCTCTTTACACATCTTAATCATAGAATATATGCAGGTCATTATTTGTGGCATAACCACTCAAGTATGATGCCATAAAAATAAATCTGTTATACAAAATATGCTTTTATTATTTTTTTTCTCCTATTAAAATATAAAAATGTAATATCTGACAAGAACATATATTTATTTTATATCTTATTAAAATAATCTGCTTCTGGTATCATCTATGTTTCTGGTGAATGTAACTAAAAATTATTAGAAAAATTTATTAGAACAATACATTGATAAAAATTAATATGTTATAACTTACAAATGTAAAAAAAACTGACCACTTTAGCTATGTCGACCCAATCTAATGCTGCCACAAAAGCATCATTCTTAGTTGGTATTTTATCATAATTCCAATACATTAACTGTGAAAAAGTTCCTGTGCAATACAAATTCCTCTCCTTATTTTCTGTGTTTGTCTTTTTATTCTCCATAAACATTATGCCTCTGTATCCAGCAGGCACAGTTATTTTTTTCCCTTGAAGCGGATAGCCACGAAAGGAACAATCATAATCTTTAAATAATCAAATGGCAGATTAATATTATAAACCTTAAATTCTCTTTAACTTTTTGATTCGTTTATTACTTCAATTATTACATTCATTTAAGGTGTCATGTAAATTATGAAAGTTAAACACAGAATGATAGATAAAAAAAGTCTAATAAAGTTTTACTTCTAATTTTACAGATTTATTTGCTTTTAACATTTTTGCCTATACTTTTAACATTGTATAAATATACGATATTGAGGAAATTCTTTTCAACTTTCAATCACTTACATTCTTCGTCTAGCTTACGAATGTAAGGCTTAAAAAAGGAGGAAACATTCGCAGCTTCATCTCCATGAATTTTACATGGCATGAAATGTAACTCGGACTCGTCTCGATTAACTAAATCTTTCTCATTAATGTGCAATCGTGTGACCATGTTAATTTAATACTATGCGAAGTAAAATAATTGTTTAACTCCGAAAAATTTTGATGAACCTTTATTCTGTATGTATACATACAAACTAACCAATAATATTACGCTATATTATCATAGGCGTGTTCTTTTTAGCTGAACTTTATGTTATGCACGATTCATCTTTCTTCCTTTTCTCTCCACGGAGAGAAAAAGAGAAAAAGTGAACCGTGCAAGAATTTTAGGTTAAAGAACAGACCTCGTGACTTGGCGCCAGTGTTGTTAAGCCGGAATCAGACTACGCATTGAAGATTGGCTGCGTTCAGCAGAACGTTGGTTTTGCAACTGTTGGAAGTTTCCTTCACGCTAATTGGATCATACTTTTAGATCTAGAAGAATGGTCCTATCTCGGCAGACAATCATAAAACGGTTGCAAAACTGTTGAGTCTGCTGAACGCAGCCATTGAGATTGAAAAATTCAAATTTGACCAATCAAAACAATAGAAGCTAAAATTTCTTTGCCCTCATTGGTCAAATTTCAATCTTCAATCTTCGATCTCAATCTTCAATGCGTAGTCTGATTCTGGCCTAACAACACTACTTGGCGTCATCATCGTAAAAGAATCATTTCTTCACACGGTATTTTTAAAGTTACCAGATTTTAAAAGTAAAGGTAAGATTTCAAGAATTACTAGGACGAATGTAACTATGTTTGTTTTCAAGTATGAGTACTAATAAAATTACTTTTCATCTACTTAGGTAATTCGTTTGAGAGTACTAATAAAAAATATTAAAAGGGATATTACTATATATATAATTCATGGATATACAGAAAAATGTTTCATATACTAAGAATTTTGTGTGCATTATGCTTGCAAGTACATAATATTACTCATTTCATACATTTTGATACATATGATGTGCGATTTAATACAAAATTCAAATGGTTTAATTTACTTCAGACTTCGTGTTATAAATTAATTTCAATCCGCTACTTTTGATAAACGAATAACTATAATATGTATTTACATAGTTACTGTACTTTCATTATATTCAATTTGCAGGAAACGGTAATTATATTACAAAAGTAGCGTTCCATATAACGAAAGAGATAAATAGTATAATAATTCTACCCTAATGCAATGTTACAATTTTAAGTTAACTAGCTGAAATTTAAAAATAACATTCAACAACATTATTATAAATATTCTGAACTCAAACATTATGTTGAGACCAAATTTATGTGTACGAGTATAATATAAGCGTAAGTAATGATGAGCACAATTATTATAATTACTTTAATATCATAACTTTATCTTTTCTCGTGAGAAACTTTTGCCATCGTTAAAAATATACGCGAAATGGCATCTTCAGTACTGGTTTCTGCCCCTACTATAGCCGCCATGTTGATAACTATTCCAACCAGAAGTATTGGCACCTTGATTCCATCCACCTTGAACTCTACCTCCCCTTCCTCTTCCGCTTTCCCTCCTGTCCTGATAGTTCCCACCGCCTCGATTGTCACCTCTATACGAGTCTCTCTGACCGGAATATTGCGACTGTTGATAATTCTGATTTTGACCGTAACTTTGACTATAATTCTGATTGTAGTTTGTGCCAGAATCTCTACGATAAGATCCAGATCCAGATCCAGATCCACCTCCACCTCCACCTCCACCACCGCCGCCTCTCTGATATCCTCCTGCATCTCTATGATCTGGATAACATTCTCTATGTCCATGCCCGGAATATTGAGATTGCTGCTGATAGTCCAAGTTCTGGCCAAAATTACTACCAGAGTCTTTATGATCTCGATAACCGCTACCACCGCCACCTCCTCCACCTCCACCTCTACCGCCACCACCACCTCTACCACCTCCGCGTCCTCTATCTCCACCGCCGCCGCCGCGTCCACCTCCTCCTCTTCCGCTCCTGAAAAAAAAAAAAGAAATATGTGTATACATGCACATATACATCATTTAATTATCTCTTCATTATAATCCCAGTCCTTCTAAATTCTTTGAAGCGAAATCTTACTCTAAGGAGTGAAAATTGAGTCAATCTTGAAAAAGAATGCCTCAATTTTCAATCCTTAAGAATGAGAGATTTTACTCTTCAGAGTGAGATACTCTAAAAATTTTAGAGAGCATATTATTTAATTAACTTACTGAAATGACGGTGGCCCTTGAACTCTATCCTTCTGCCATGGTGGCATCTCCGGTGGAGGTGGCTCTTGTTCGTATGGTCTACCACCTCTGTCTGGAACCGCTCCAATAATAACGCTGTTGATTTTACTTCGTGTGTTCTTGCGAACACTCGCGTTACTTGTTTTCTCAATTATTGCTAGATCGTCTCTAGCTGCTAGTAAATCGGCCAGTGTCACTTTTGGTTCGTTTTTCAGAGTCTTTCTTCTCTCGTTGTATCTATTATTTACTTCAGTCTCCTGTGATTTTATTCTATCAGACCACTATAAGTGAAATTGCATAATTTTTAATAAAGTGATCATTAAATATATTGGTCTATATGTATAAATAAGTATTCTTAAAGCATTTGTTCTCACCAAAAATGATTGAACTGTAACGTCAAGACGTTTCAGCAACATCTCACGTCGAACTATATATTCCTTGTGCATTTCTTCTTGCAGCTGACCTAATTTCTCCCATTGTTTAGCAGAGAGCTCAACATCTATAAGTGGTTTGTCTAGATGATTAGGTGGTACAGTCTTTAGAACGTTTGATAATTTAGTTTCTAGCCGTGAAAACAATAAGTCAGGCGAAATATTGTCTGGTGGATTTTGAAACTTCAGTACAACCAGCATATTTTTCAAAGTTCTCGCAGTGTCACTTTCATCCTGTACAAAACAGTATACATATATTATTTTAAATCTTTTGCAAGTATTTGTTATACTGACTTTTGTCAGTATAAACGCAATTAAAATACTACATTTAAAACTACTTACAATGGTGACTTCTATTTGCTTCTCTTCTTTGGGACATTTTACTTCTAATAATTTACAAGCCATAAGCTCTGTTGTTAAAAATTCTATTAGAATAACTCTTTCAGTTTCATTTGCTAGCCTTTCATTCATATGTCCAGTCATCAGTTTCTCATTTATGCATCCTATTTCTTTAAGAAAGAAGCTTAATTCTAAGAGAAAGGAACTAGCATCGTCCGAGCTTGTTGTAGCATGGACAGTTTCATCTATATCTACAAATGTCGCCAGTTGCTCGGCAAACCAGCTTACGAGACTAGTAAAATCCGGCGATTTTGCGCCAAGTTTTAAGGCATTCGACAGCTTGTTGGCATCAAGCATCGACCCAGTGTATCTGTAAAATCATTAAAAATTCATTCTTTTGGCAAAAAAAAATATATAAAAGTGCTAGTACATTGTCGTAATAACTTAATTTCTTTAACCTAAATATCTAAGTCTTCAATTCTTTTCAATTCCGAATAAATCCTTCGTGAAATAATCTTCAACTACTCACCCAACATTTTGGAGTATCTGCAACAGCTTGTCCTCCATGTCGATCGTCTTTCGAGGATTTCGGATGTTACGGAGTTAAGGTATGCAATAAATATATATCGGGTACGTATTATCTGGAAATTATTGCAGAGACAAGCTACGCTTGAAACGTTTCGCTGCCTTGATTCCCCCAGTTCCTCAACGTCGATATATTCAATGCACAGAATCGGGTACCGGTTATGGCAGTGACATAGATCAAATTGCACAATAAGAAGAAACTGAAGAAACAGCTCGGAGACCAATACAACCTGTTTCCAACGCTACGTTTCCTTAGGCTTCAATCGTAGAGAGAAGCTAAGGGCCCTGGCACACAAAAAACTTAAGGCAGTGAGACGTAAGCAGTAAGGAAATCGACATGTTGGATTCGCTACTGCTTATGCGGGGTCTACAATAGAAGTCGTAGCAGTCGTAGGGTCTTAAGTCGTAGAAAATTGACCAATCACAGTCGAATATGAGAAGAATAATCAACTGTGATTGGTCAATTTTCTACGACTTAAGACCCTACGACTGCTACGACTTCTATTGTAGACCTCGCATTATGTTATGGCCTTATGGACTCTACTGTGATTGGTCAATTCGCTTACTGCTTACATTTTATTGCTTAAGTTTTTTTTTTGTGTGCCATGGCCCTAAGTGGAGCTAGTGGAGCACAGACAAGTGTCAAGTATGGGTGCTTTCCAATAAGGACATAGTGTCTGACTATGTCCTTGCTGGAAAGCACCCTATATTTGGTCGATTTTGAAGAATTTAGATTTTCGCAATGCCAAATCCGAATTGCAATTCTTGGAAATTAAAGGAATTCTTGGAAAATTTTAAATAACGTAGTCTCAATTATATTCTCCTTATATTTTGTCGATTTTCGAGATCCATAATTTTCTCGGTTCCGAAATCTCGGGGAGTCAACTTACCCGTTTTCCGTAAGAACGATAAATTGATTGGCTACCGTATTTTTTTCATCCCGCGGCAAATTTCCTCATTTTGCGTATGGGAACCGGGGAGCCGTAAAGATCGTGTCGGCCACCATTTCGGGCGATTCACGAGATGGCGCGGCGTTAGCGTGGAATTGCAGTCGTTTTCCTGGTCGTTCTGTAGGCGTCATCATGGTGCGTAGGTCAGAGCGTTTCTGAGGGTGAAGCCGAGGAGTTTGTTTTGAATTGACAACGACGCGGATACATCGGCTCCTCGGTGGTGTTATGGTAACTCGCTCGGTCGCTGGGCTCGCCGAATTCGTCCTACGACGCCACGGCGATGATGCGGCGCGGCAGCGGTGAGCGTTGTCGCACGACCGTCTAGAGTCGGACTCTGGGTACACGGTGGTGTGCGTGCGTGTAATACGTGTGCGTGCGTATTGTGCGCGATGTCGTGGTGCTCGGAGAAGCATCATCGCCTCGCGCGACGACTCGAGCGGAAATGGAACGCCGTGTTCCTGCTGGTCATGTGTTTGCTCGCACTGAGCGTATCGTCGACCTATGCCGAGCCGAACGACAATATAGACCGCTGCCCAGTCGAGTGCTCCTGCCTCGGCAACCTGGTCGCCTGCAACGAGCTGCAGCTGATCCAGGCGCCCAGCGGACTGCCACCGTGGACTGAGATCCTGTGAGTAAACGATGTGACCTGGCAGGATGACGTTGTTAGCATAGCGACTTTGGCTTTGTATATGACAAACGGCGTCTTGGTTTTCCCTGCGATGTCAGTCAGGTTTCACAGGGGATGAATCTTGTACGCGAAGTGCCTTCTATTCATCATTTTTAGGATGAAGATGTATAATGCTGTTATACACATTGAAAGAATTAGAGGAAGATCTTACTGATTACAAGATCTGGCTTGTGTTATATGAGTTAACACAGATAAGATAGAAGAATTTATAACAAAAATAAAATAATCATTGATCATACTTTACAATGGCTATCAGTGATTTTTATAATTTATTTTTGTGCTTTTATGATAGTTGAAGGATAGGGAAATAATATTTAATGATAAATATTATAATATAAATTGATAATTTAATTAAAATTAAGTAAAAAGGCTTAATAAATTAAATAAT